TCTCTGGCACCTTGCGCCGAAGAAGTGAGAGGCTGATAGGATGATAGTTTTGAGGAAACGTTTGTCCTTGTCGAATTTCGTATGCATGATCATTTCCGCATACTTACTTAGCATGGTGGGAAGTGATCCTATTAATAACTCAGAAGTTATTGATGTAATTCAAGGTCCTTACAGCCTTTCTAGGGATCATCTTATTGGAAATTGCATTGCAGGCTGATTTTTTTTTGACTTTAAGGCTCGCCTTCCTGTTCCTCGTCTTCATCTCAGCGTTCATTAAGGCTGCGGAACCATCAGCTTTCTTTTTATCAGAGTATACCATCCCCTATCCCATTGGTTTATATATTAGTTTCTTTAATGCAGAATCGATGCCAATGCTAGAGTTCATGGATCATTCAATCTCAACAGTTGTTTTCCACATTTTTGAGAGTTTCTTTAAGTTGATATATTAATTGGCATAAATGCACAAATGATCTTGTTCATTCAGCCATTTCACTGTCCAGTCTGTTTTTGAACAGGTTGACTTGAAATGCATTTACAGTGTCCCAACCGAGTCGATTCCAGTCATAAACTACTCGATTGGGCAAGATATTCCTACGCAAAAGCCTGGCACATCTCTCCTCACAGAGTTTCTTGTTATGACCCCTTAGAGGCTGGCTGTCACTGAACCCAAAAATACTTAACTGGCACTAATTATTTTGAATGTCTTCACTAGATCCCCACGCGTTCGTTTCTCATAAAGTCTAGAAAGTTTCAGCCTCTGCAGCCTTTGTTGGTATGGAAGGTCACGAGAAGCTGGGGAAATTTTGTTGCTCTGCGTTGGACTTTTTCAAGTGCTTCAATGTCCTTGACATAATAAGGACTCCATATGCTTTGGGCCTTATATAAGCCTTGTACAGCTTTACAAACATTTGAGGTGGCGGATCTTTAAATGCCTTGGAGATCAGGTACATGATATAGTTTGACTTCTTTATGATACCATTGATGTGGTTTTCTCACTTCATGTCTTCAGTGACAACAACTCCCTAATCATTTTGTTCAGCAACATAAATTACCTGGGTAGACCCAATAAAGTATTGAATCTTGGGGTTGTTCTTGGCTAGGAGGAGAATCGAAGACTTGGAGTCATTCGTGGCATTTGCTAGATGGTTGTTTACTGTTTGATGGCATCTAATCCCCCTGGAGGCTTCCATTTTACGTTACAGGATTACTATAACAACAGGTATCATCCGCAAACGACGACATCTGACTTCTCAATCTGTTTGGCAGGTCACTAATATATACAAGGAAGGTGGAGGGTCAAGGGAGACACCACTAAAAACTTCTCAGGAATTTGACTTTATGGAGCCTATCCGGACACAGAACTCTCGATCATGCAGAAAATATTGGATTAGGTTGAGTACAAGTCCTCTTATACCATAGTTATGGAGTTTATGAAGAAGCCACCCAAATGGTACCCGGTCAAAAGCTTCTTCAAATCCAGGTGAAATACATCAACAGACTGGCCAGAGTCATCTACCCTTGTCCAGTCATGAACCTTGGTAAGCAGGTTCGTGAAATTGGACCTTCCACGAAGGAACCCATGTTGAGATGGTGAGCAGATTCCATTTCCGAGCTCAATTCCAGTCTAAGGCTGCTTGTTAAGCAATGTGATAGAACTTCAGCAACCATGTTCAGAAAAATGGCAGGAATGCCATCTTCTCCTGGACTTGAATCTGGCTGCAGTGATTTGAGGGCAGTCTCCTAGTGAATTAGCATAGAATGTATCAGCAAACAAATTGGCAACTTTCTTCTCATCACTCAGGATGCAGTTAGGAATACGAAGCTTCAAAAATACCTCTTTAAATCGAAGAAGCAAGATCAGGGAAGTAAAGATAGCAGAGGATCGCCCAAACTCAGAAGCAGATATGTTCCTAAAACTGGAGACGCTGTTTCAGGAATTCTGCGCGAAGTTAGACCAAGAACCAAGAGCCGGAAAACAGATCAAATGCTACAACTGCGGCCGAGAAGGACATATTAGCAGAAACTGTAGGCGACGTTGCCGCTCAGGAGAAAGTGAAGCAGAGGAAGAAGGTGGTTCCAGACATCAGTGTAAGGGGGCGAATGCTGGCGACCACCGATTCTCAAGCCCCCAAAGTAAGGGTGTTCTCCATCAAGAAGAATTGAAGGAAGAAAAGAAGAAAGCTATCGACTTTGTATAGAAAGAGGCTGGTGTTTTTGTGCAAGATAAAATTACTGGACGAACTAACTTGGTAGATCATCGCATCAACACGGGAAGTGCTACACCCATTCGCCAACCACCACGAAGACTCCCTTTCGCAAAGCAACAGCAAGTTAACACCATGCTTAAGGAAATGCTGAAGGACAACATCATAGAAGAATCTAATAGTCCATGGTCATCGCCGGTCGTACTAGTTTCGAAAAAGGATGGTTCTAATCTGTGGTTCTACCAGGTTTTGTGAGGATTATAGAAGGTTGAATGACGTTACGAAGAATGACAGCTATCCATTATCCTGGATTGACGATACCCTTAACGCCCTCTTAGGATCCAAGTGGTTTTCAACCCTGGACTTGTAAAGTGGATATTGGCAGGTGGAATTCAATAAGGAGGATAAAGAGAAGACCGCATTTACTACAGGAAACGGCCTATATCAATTTAACGTCATACCGTTTGGATTATGCAATGCACCTGCCACTTTTGAAAGACTGATGGAGTTAGTTTTGCGAGGACTGACTTAGGAAACGTGCATGGTAGATCTGGATGATGTCATGGTGATTGGCAAAGATTTCGACGAACACCTGTCGAATTTGAAGGAATTTTTTGCCAGGATTCAAAGTGCCAATCTGCAACTAAATCCCAAGAAGTGTGTCATATTCCAGGAAAAAAGTAAATTTCCTCGGCCATGTTGTCTCATCAAAAGGAATAGAGACAGATCTAGATAAAGTCCAAGCTGTGCGAGATTGGCCCAGACCAAAGAACAAACATGAAGTTAGAAGCTTCTTGAAACTCTGCAGTTACTACCGCCGGTTTGTCAAGGATTTTGGGAAGATTGCGAAGCCTTAACATGAACTAACTGAAAAGAATGCTCGTTTTGATTGGATACCTGAATGTTAACGGTCTTTCGTGGAGCTGAAAAATAAATTGACTAGTGCTCCAGTTTTGGCTTATCCCAGGGATGAAGGTCTATTTATGTTAGACACCGGCGTTTCGCAGAGTGGAATAGGGGTTGTTCTTCCCCAAATTCAAAACGGTGAAGAAGAAGTGATTGAATACTTTAGTAAGTCCATTGGAAAGGCAGAGAAGAATTATTGTGTCAGCCGAAAAATGCTTCTGGCAGTAGTAAGATCTATTAAACATTACCACAGCTTTCTCTATGGCCGAAAGTTCCTAGTTAGAACCGACCATTCTGCATTGCAATTTTAAAAATCCGGAGGGTCAAATAGCGCGTTGGTTAGAGAAATTACAAAGTTATGAATTCCAAATCAAAAATCGCAAAGGAAGGAGTCATGCCAACGCCGACAGCCTATCACGAAGACCATGTATTGACAGCTCATGCAAATTCTGCCAAAGGCAAGAGGAAAAGGAGGCAACCAAAAATTCTGGAGTCGTTCAATAAATAAGGCTTAAGAATTCCGACAAGGACGCTAATACTGATGAGGACATTACGAGAGAAGACCGAAGAACAACAAAATATGGATAAGGAATTGAAAATGGTGCGTGGCTGGCTACAAGACGGACAACGACCTATATGGCAAGAAATTTCCAGTTTGAGTCAAACGGTGAAGGGATACTGGCTGCAATGAGACTCGTTGTACCTACGAGATGACTTAATCACTCGTAAATGAGTGAGTCCAGATGGAAAAAACCTAGTATATCAGACCGTTGTGCCACGAACCATGGTGGACACAGTGCTTCAAGAACTGCGCAATAGTAGGAGTGGCGGACACTTTGGAGTCAATAGGATCTTGGCTCGAGTAAGAGATAGGTATTATTGGATCAACTGTCGTAGGGATGTTGAAGAGTGGTGCAAGAGATGCGATCTCTGTGCATCTAAGAAAGGACCCAATACGCGATTCCGTGGAGAAATGAAGCAGTACTTGTCCGGTTCCCCTTGGGAGAGAATTGCCGTGGATATTGCAGGTCCTTTTCCTACGACGGAGTCAGGGAATAAGTATCTCATGCTGGAAAACGTCATGAGATCTGTTTATGTAGGAGTAAAATTGCTTATCAGAAGGGTAGTTCTGTTCATGTTTCCTTCTAGAGTGTTTTACCTTGGCTTTTATCAATTGGATCAAATTTTGGCATAAAAAAAACCACTGGAGAATAGGCGCGTAAGTGTGGTGTCACACATAGCACTTTCACCACTGCGGCATAAACGCTCCGGTTTGCCGAGATGGTGTAAACCGATTCTATTAGATGAGAGCTGTCACATACAGCCTTGTACCGCACCCAAACCGGATGCAACCGCATCATGCTGCGGCGGCACTGTAAGGTTGCGGACATATGATGCATTGAAAGGGTAACTACACACCTCAACCGATTCTTTCTTGTATAGAAGATATGTTTTTCTTAAATCACTTTTGCTACAATTTCCTCCATTCATTGCGAAACTTTCGGGCTATTGACCAAAACAATTTATTCATTAATCGCCAGACTTAATAGGGCCAAAATCTCCCGGCGGCTGGCGGTGGCGGAAGCTCACCGTAAATTTGATGTTTTAGAGTAACCTGTTTCCCATTCATTACGCTTAGTGCAATTGCGGAAACTCCAGTGGTCAGCGCAACCAATGTTTCTCCCGGGAATTTCCGGGATGTTTCGCGAACTACCATTTCTCTTCCTTAAAACGTTTAACAATTTGCCCGAAACCGGAGCAATTTACATCTCAGCGACACACACCATATAATTTAATTATCGCGCGTCCCGTCCTCACCTCGCTTCCTTTTAAAAATGTTTAAAGACAAATTTCTGTTGGATTATATTATATATTAGCTTCATTTTTCAGTGCCTCCAGACATACTGGATTACGCCACCAGCGGCGACATTGTAGTCAGAGAAGGGGCGAATGTGAACCTTCATTGTGTGGCTAAAGGATTTCCTACTCCGTCAATTATTTGGAAACGGGAAACTGGAGATTTGATAACTTTGGCTGACGGGAAACAAGGTAAACTTTTTTTTGTTGGTGGCTGAAACGTATACAGACTGATGTCGGCTAAGAGTTATCCGAAATTTTACAATAGATAGGTATCAAGTTAATAGAATAGGTAATTCTTTATTACATTTTCACCGCCTTTCTCAATCATATTATTATCAAAGACCTAATTATTTCAACATTATTTCCCGACTCTCCAAAAGTAATTCATCATTTTAAATTAGTGGCTAGAAATATGAGCTTTACTAAATAATTTAAAAAATTAATTAACCAAATGAATTATTGCACAAATAAACCAAACTTTGTAATACCAATATAAACGAATTCAGTTTTTGTTTGGTGCATTTAATATTCTCTTTAAACAATAATTGATAAATTGTTTAATGTAAATGATATGCAAATGCGATTAAATATAGAATTTACGAAGCTGTTCTTTCTAAAATAGGACAATTAAACTCCATGTTAAATTAAATTTGAAAAGCTCTTTGCAGCATGACAAAAATTAGTTATAGGGCAATTATTTATCATTCCTGATAAGAAAGATCTATTATATTCGCCGCAAAATTGATTTTTAACTCCCTGGATAAATTAATTATGATATCAGCCAGGTCGGTATATAAAATCCCTTTTCCGAGAAAAGTAAAAACAATTAAATCAGGGGCCAAAGTGCCACAAACTCTTTCTCGTGCGGCGGCAAAAGTTGTACGGCAAACAGGATTAAGCAATTACACTAACCTTTTTCTAAGATGTATTTCCTAATTTCATTAACTTTATACAGTTTCTTATAAGAAAAATGATTTATAGTTGAGTCTTTTTTGCGACAAAAAAACTTTTTCAAGTTTCCCTCGTGAAATCAAACAATTTTTTTTCAAAACAAAAACGGCAAATATACGCATTTTCATAACATAGGTTCCTCCATTGAAAAAGCATTTTTAAAATCCCCGTTCTCAAAGGTCCACTTAGGCGGCCCTAGAAAATATTTTTATTTTTAGTGTCTACCGTCGTTTGCACGAACTTAACGAATTATCCGGGCAAAATTAATTTTCCATGGAAATTTTTATTTTGGCCATGATTATGGTAGTGAAAAGCTTTTAAACTTGTTTATGAGAAAACATTATTGCTTTAGTTTGTTGTTTTACAAATCGGTTTAATTTATGAATGAAAAACGCATGATTGATTGATGAATGATTCCGAAAATTTTGGAGATTGATAAAAAGATATCAAAGCATGTTCCTTAACTTTATCTTGAATTGATTTCCTAATAGTAACAGCTACAAGGATTTGGAAGTGGAATTTTTATGATCAGGAATAAGTAGAAATCTTATCTTTAGTATTGAAATATAGTCTGTCTGCCTTCTTTTAGCATTGCAACTATCCTCCATCTTTTCATGGTGATTTGTTATTTTTCAGATTGTTATTCGCCTTCTCGAATTGGAATTTTCCGATAATTGGTATCTTCAGAACTGACAATTTATATTTTTCGATAGTTATTTATTCCTGGCTCCACTTTTATATTTTTTTGTGTTTCGTTTCCCATCTCTCGGAAGACTTCTTCTTTTACTCATTTATTTCCTTGCATACGTCCAAGTTGTTCGTCCAATCTTTGACGATATTTACGTCATCTACTTTTGATTTTTGTCTACGAACTTCAAGGAGAGCGTGTGGTTCTTGCTAGGGCATGAAGTCCAATTCTGGATAGTAGGCACGTAGAATCGTTGTGAGAATTTAGGATTTTGAAAAATGTTATTAAATCACTTTAATTTCGTCTGGCGGCTAAGGGTTGCAGGTTAAAGCGTCGATAAAGGTCATCACAGTTATAGATATAATTTTCGGCAGGAGGAATACCTGCCTTGAAGGCCAAGTACCGTACAAATTTACGCTACACCTGCTCCAAGGCGTTGATGTGGACAAAATACATAGATGACCAAACCGAGGAGCAGTAATCCAGGATGGGCCTTATCATTGTGCAGTAGAAAAGCCTGATGGAACAGATGTTAGTGAAGTTCCTTGAACACCTTTCAACAAAGCCCAGCAGTTTCAGAGACCTGGTAGCGATCCGGAATGTGGCTGGAGAAGCTTAACGTGTCATCAAAAATGATATCGAAATCACGTTGTTGGGACACTGTTCCAAGTGGTTCATTGATTATGCGGTATACAAATTGTATAGGGCTTTGAGTTTTGGAGAAAACGATAGCTTCATATTTAGAGGCTTTGAGTTCCGTCACCCGTGCCACTTGTGACCCACCATTCGGAAAGTCTTTCTAAGTCAGATTGTAGTCTGGCACAGTCTTCGTGGGAGCAGACTCGGGCGAATATCTTTAAGTCATCGGCAAAACACAGAAACTCACTATTAATGAAACAAGAACCAATATCATTGAGAAAAATATTGAATAGCAGGGGTCCAAGGTGAGATCTTTGTGGTACACCTGGGTCCTTATTCTTGAAACAGGGGAGCAGCGTTCCCAGGAGAACGAATGTTCTGTCTTTCTCGATGATATGGAAATGATAATATAAGTAACAAAGACGGAACTCCCGTTCTCCTGGAAACGCTGCTTCCCAGTTTCAAGAATAAGGGGCCTGAAGGGATGTCATTGGGCTGTGAGCAGAAGTTGATGATCTTGACTGTTTGGGTTCTGTTCCTAGATATTCCAATTCTCTCAAGCCTCGCAAGTAGGACGTTGTGGTTGACACGGTCGAAGGCTTTAGCAAAATCGGTATATATGGAGTGAACAACTCCACCGCTTTCAAGAATCCCTGAGATTTATCAGGAGGTTAGTTTCGGTTGGGTACTTTGGCCGGAAACCTGCTTGCTGTTTAATGATAGGAGTTAAGAATTTAGTTACTATATTCTCAAAGACATTAGGGATAGTGTTAAGGATACTGATAGGTCGTATTTGGTAATATCCATTATGTCACCGGTCTTATGGATGGGCCTGATAAAGCTCCGCTTCCAAATCTCAGAAAATACTCCACTACTAAGTGATTCATTGAACAAAATAAACAGAGGACGAGATAGTATAAAGCTACACCTGCTGAGCATCAGAGGGGGGATGCCATCCGGGCCAGGTCCACGAAAGATCCGCAGCTTACACAGTACATAACTGAGCAGGAAATTTTGAAGTCATGAATGTGAATTTTATTATCGGAAATGCTGTGGCCAATAACACATGCTTTGTCTGAGTAAACAGAATGAAAGTATGCACCGAAAAGATTAGCTAGTTCAGGTCCAGTTTTGTCGAGTCCATAAGTCTGTTGTCTAGCATTGACAAAGTTCCAGAAATGTTTTAGATTTTCATCCCTAAGCAATGACATTTCTGAGGATATGACATAATTTGTATAGCAATCTTTTGAAAGAGTCTTACACTGAGCCCAAAGGTGTGTAAATTCAACATAGTCAGCAGGGATCCCGTCTGCTTCCAAGTTCTGTGGGCACTTTTCTTCTTAATTATTAACTCCTTTAGTTTAAGAGAGAATCATCGTGGCAATTTATGGCTTGAGAGTACCTTCTTGGCTACACAACAACCGATAGCCGTATAGAGAACATCAGAGAACACTCTGGTCATTTCCGTCACATCAAGACCCCGGGAGTAAGTCATCCCAGCGCACCATCCCAAGGTTTTCATTGAGGAGTGTGTAATCAGCTGACCCAAAATCATAATAGTACGCGTCAGGCTGGGGAACGTCAGCATTGCAGTGAGCTGATCCATTACAGGTGGGAGGATAATGTCACTAGCTGAGGGACAAGTATCTTCGGGACCTGGGTGAAAACCAGATCAAGTAGAGTACCACGAGCATTGGAGAATGCATTTATCTGGAACAGGTTGTGGTAAGCGCTCATATTGGATAAAAATTCGGTGGCTTCAAGCTCTGGAAGGAAGACTGAGCAGCAACAGCTGCAGATCTGAGACTGTCACTACCCCAGTTTGCCTTGGGTAAGTTGAAATAATCGGAAATGCAAAGCCTGTAATCAGGGAATGTATCCGATAGAGTTTCCACTGAGTCCGAAAAACATCTGTAAGCCTCGCTATTGGATCTAGTTGATAGGTAAACTGCACGGAACAATAATTTACTATTCCCCGAGTGCACCCTGATGAATAACTGTTCAATAGTCCTGGGTGAGTCACAGATTGAGCTAAAAATACCCTGTTGAATTGCTATCAATGCACGCACCTCCCCCTCTGATGGCAGTACTGGAAGAAGTTGAACGATCACATCCAAAGACGGTATAGTTCCCATGCCCAGTTCAGCATCATAAAAGTCCTCAGTGAACCAAGTAAAAACCAGAACCTGGTATGAAACTAGGGAAACAGAACTAGCCAATGTACTTAATTTGGTACACAAACCGCGCACATTCTGATAATATACTGACTATAACTATTCAGATTGTTTATAACTCCTGATTGTCGGCTAGGCCACGGAAATCCTGAGCCCCATCGTATCTGGATATATTGGATTTCCTCTTAAAATTGAATCTGCGAAAAGTTACCTTGCTAGGCCAAAATCCACAGGAATTCAATACGTTGCAGTAGTCGGGAGTGATGCCAAATTTAAATGAATCTGTTTTCCCTAAAGTTTTCAGTTTGTCAACAATTAAGTTATCCTCACTAACATTTGGTTATATACTTACGAATTATAGAACTAACAGAATGCGAAACTTTACCAATATAAAACTACATCTTGCTGCCATACGCAGCCACAAATTCATGGTCTGATTCGATCTCTGAGGTGCTCTGAAACTCTCTTCTGTTACCTCGGCGATAAGTCACCAGTGAAAACCCGTCTTCAGCATCAGCTTGCTTTGCATTTGCACTGTTAATGGCCTTTTCCCACGGCCCACTACTAAACAAATGGCCCTGTCACTGGATGTACCACGTGATCATAAAAGGCCGATATTTTCAAACAGGTGATTGTAAGAACCAACTGTTTTACACACATAAGGGTGCCGTTTTGTTGTTAGTTATCCGTTTTTGTCCAAATATTTGCTTCTTTTTACCTATATGTAACTATATTTT